ATTGTTCGAGATGCCCTCAGACAAAACAGGGAAGACTGGAAGAAAGGTCCTTCAATTAAAGCAGACCAGATCTGATACACCGACGGCGGCTCCAAGACGAGCAAGGGGGTCGGAGCCGGTATCTACGGAGACAGACCTAGGGTGGAAATATCCACAAGTCTCGGATAGTACGTCACGGTGTTTCACGCGGAAATCGCTGCGATAATGCACTGTGCAGTACCTAAATGAAAGAAAAGTTAAGAGTTAAAACATCGTTATTTACTCGTACAGCCAGGCGACACTAAAGTCAATCAGCTCTCGAAAGATCAACTCCAAGCTGGTTGAGTACTATATACGTGCCCTAGAGGAGGTGGGCCTGTCTAATAAACTTACCATAACCTGGGAACTAGGCCATGAGGGCCACCCAGGAATTGAAAAGTCAGAAGACTTAGCCAAAGGAGGCTCGGCCACTGAGATGATAGTCCCTGAACCATTCTGCGGCATTTCTGTAGGCAGTTTTAAAACATCTAGCAAGAACTGGAATGACAGAGAGTTCCAGAGATGGTGGCAGCGAACACCAGGAGAACGACAGGCAAAGCAGTTTATCAAATCCTGCTCGCCCAAGTTCACAGCGGACCTATTAAGCCACAGCCGCAAGATTGTTAGGTTAGCGGTAGGCAAATTAACAGGGCATTGTAAACTCAACAAGCACCTGGAAAGAATGAGGCTGGTAGAGGATAGCTTGTGCAGGTTCTGCCAGGAGGCGGAAAAAACTGCCATAGATATGGTGCCACTGCGAAGCGCTATGCAGGCTTAGGTTTGCGAGGCTTGAAGAGGAAAAGCCCAATCCGGCAAGCTACATGGGGTGGCGAGTATCATGGCTCTGGAGTCTAGAAAAAAGGAAGGGCTTAGAGAACGCACTCTAAGGAGAGATCCCAAGCAGCAAGGGGTAGTTGAATCAACGTTGATTAAAGATTGATTGATGTCGTAGGCGTTGATATACCAAAAATCAACGTTGAATGGCCATTATGAAAACAACGTATTCGTCAACGTATTCTAAACAAAGTCTATTCAACGTTGAATATACGGTTGCAGGAGACATTGCAATTTTGAAAAAATAATTCGAACCCATTGGTACCAAAGTATTTATCAAATCTAGACTAGGTGTAGCAACTTTGAATAGTTATAACACTGATTTTTTTCTGTTTGATTTATCCCAAACGTTGAATGGAGGTTTAAAATGTTTTTTGAAATAAATATACGCTGTTAGTAAAATTTAAGATATCAATAAAAAACCATATATTTATTATTATATATCTTAATGGATGCAGGTTTAATGTTTAAAGTTCCAATATTCGACATGAAATAATATTAAATAAGTTGCTTAAAAGTAGATAAAGTGGTATCTCCATGCAAATTAATTCAAACTTCCCGGTAAGGTGCATCGCGTCCCGCCATTTGCCACCAGCGCCCTCTGCGCCCAGCCCATCATTGCATTGGCGTCTGGCCGCTGGCGTCGTCACGTTTATCTTCCTATTCACTCAGGTTTTTGTTAATTTTGTGTAAATTTAAATTTATTGAAGGTGTAAAAGGTGTTATTATTTTTGTTTTTGTGTGTCTATTAATGTGTCCAGCCTGGATTTGACTTCGTTTGGTGGAAAATGATGGTAGGCGTATGTATACTTCTCAATTCCTATTTAAGAGTAAGCCAGTTGACTTTTAACAATCCTCCAAATCATGTTTTATTTTGATCAAATTTGTGCCCATTTACTGTTTCGATATATTAAATTTTGTGTCAAAGATTTTGTGTTTATTTAAAAAAGTTGTGGAATAGAGTACCTATAACCTCAAACATTATTTTGATGATTTCATTTTATTTGAAACCTGTTCTGACAGACCCAGCTATAGAACAAGTTTCATAAGACGCAATTTGATATAAAATATCTTATGAAGCATGTTCTTTGTACTATTTTTTCTGTTTCAAGTTGTGAAAAAAAAAAAATAAAGGTTGAGCTCAACCTCAGGCTCAACGTGAAATCTGACGTCTTAATTACAACTGGTCAACGTTGTGATAAGGGTTGAGTTCAACGTGAAATCTGACGTCTCGAATACATCTGATCAACGTAGTTATAAGATTGAGGCCAACGTAAAAAACAACGTTAATTCAACGATCAACGTTGTCTCAATCATAGATAAGGGATACAAAACTCTCTCGAACCTATAATATAGATAGGCAACTCAATACAAACATTTTGTTCCTGATTACAGCGCCCTCTCGCGTGTGTAGTCAGCAACTTCAGAGCGCGGGAAGCGCTTCTTTTTAAATTTAATTTTTTCTTTAGGATCTGTTTATCATTTTTTATTGCCACTAGCACTGAACAATATAATATATTTCTAGTGGAAATAAAATTATGATAAACAGTCTCTTGATCACGTACCGAAGCGTTACATACTAATTAATCCATGTATTAAATACAAAAATAACAATTTTGAATTACTTTATTAACTACAGTATGATATCAATCCAACCCAATCAATAATAAGTACCTACAAGAATAAGATTTTTGATTGTAAACGTTTTGCAGGCATAAAATGAACACCTAAAAAGAAAGAAAGTTACAGGGGTAAAATAACAGGAGGAAGAATCCCGATTTCGGTATAATGTAGAGATTGAAACATACCTGTTCATCATTTTTGGGAATTCAATGAATTTTTACTCTGTTCCCTCGGCTTTCACACATCGCCACACAACAAGATAAAACCATTTTGCTTTGAACGGAGAAAATTTTCAATCTCTCTGCTTCAAATTATTGAATAAAAATGGAATATGTCAAAATTTGTCAAAATATAATGAAAAAGTAAAAGTGAAGCGACGGAAGCGACGCTGCCACATGTCAAAAGCATCGGATATTTGTTTCGAAAAAGAAATGTAATTTCAAATCGTACTACTAGCAATTATATGTTAGCGAGGTACACGACTTTTTTTCCTATTGTTGGAAGCTTTTTAAAACAAATAAAGAATAATCTGGACTTTTTATGTATAAATCTGACAACAACATTGAACGACAGCGCCTCTGCCGTCTGTAGTCGCAAGCTTTTAGCGGAACAAATTTCGCCATTAGAGTTGCACATGCATGGTCTCAATTATGACATTGTGCCGTCCTGTCAACTTACATTCAACTGTTGTTACAACGTAAAGCAACGTTGGGAAGTATCGTACTTTCAACGTTGTATCGACCAAATCTTGCTACATGGGTAGGAGATACCACCATAAATCTGACAAGGTTGCAGTGGTAGAGGATGCCTCTGCCCATCTCCATTCAAACAAATCTACAAATCTTCCATCTACATAATGCACTGAAGTATAAAGTACTGTCCAAATCTAATGGTTCAATGTCCGTCACCGTGAAAAAACTACATAAACTGTGAAAATAAACGGCAATATCGAACAAATTATATGTCGGCAGTTGAAGAATAAATTTGTGAGCCGCGTTGACCGCGTACAGCCACTCCAAAACTTACATTGAAAACCTTGTTAGGGTAAACCTTGGTACTAATTACTGAACTCACAAGGGATGTCATAGTCAATCATGAACCTGTCGAACAGATTTCAAAGTTGAAACTGAAGAACTTCGGGGGAACAAAGGAGAGGAAGGAAAATTTAAGGCATGTTGGCAACATCTTTCCTGGACTTTCCTTCACAGAAATGAAGGAAGTTCAACAATTCGTTTGTGAGAACAAGAAACTCTTTGAAGGTAAAAATGGCGAAGCTGGTAGGACGATGGCAGTGCTCATCCAAACCGTCAACCCCCTGGGAGATTTAGCATGACCAAAAAATAAGAACTAGTAGACTTGGACCCTTGCATAGGTGAAGAGTAGAGATTATTTCTCGTGTCTCACTGTTATCGCTGGTTAACATGTGATGTACGTTTCACGTGATTTTGAATGTCCCAGTTTTTTCTTGTTCAATTATTTTTATGTAGATGGTAGATGTCGCTTGGGGAGCCCATCCCTATTCTTGCAATTTAATAAAATCATGAACAAAAAAGCAGATTGATTTTTTTCCCGACGATGGTGTCTGCGATAAAGCTCAAACTCGTCGAACCTACAAGTAGTGCTTTTCATCGAAAAGGGAATATGTACGTTCTAGGACATAAGATGGTCAAATGGAGATCGGCCTCGATAGAGAATCATGGAGGAATGGAGGGGAGAGTTATGTTCCCAGGGTGAAGTTTGGGGCTGATTCAATATTTCTATTATTTTACAACTGTAATATAGTATCTTACAATTCAATTTATAAAGGTGAGCTGAACTAATAATAATTTTCGCATTTGTCATCCTGCTTATGTTGTTCTATTGGTGTATCTGATCACATTTAATCAAATCATCACATACATTTGTTATACTAATTTTTCAGTTTATCTAACTTATAGACGGCTTAACTAAATACCTCTAATTAACCATCATATTTGCAATTACTTGCATAAATCATTATTTACCTATTGACATTAGTAGGAGTGTTTGTATACTTATAAACTAAGATGATCTTAAAACAGTTATTGACAAAAACAATTATTTTATTTAATTTAATTTTCGATAGCACGCGACAAGTAGTTTAAAGTAAAGTTTTTCCAAATAGAGATATAGGTACTATTTGATATTTGTCTTTCTAACGTCAAAATTTACAAGCGTGCTCGAGCGTCGGTTTCGGTTTTATTAAAATTATAAACAGCAATTAGGTTCTTCGCAAACATTAGTTTTGTAAACACGTTTTGCTTCAAATATTGTTATTTAACTTTCAATTTATCAGATACAATTCATTTTAGAACCGGGAGCTAGAAATAATATTTGCGCTATAATAACAAGTTAAATGTTGGAAAAAGCTGCACCACTACCCCGCACTCTCTATCTCTGTGTAGGTTTATTCGTTTGAATTTTAACAAATAGAAGAATAATCTTTTTTGGTTTTAGAGGGATTGAGTTTGCGCTTTCAAATATATTTAAATATTTAGAAATGGCGTGTTGAATATTTCTTTGTTTGGTGTGATTAATAGTAATTATGATACGAATCTTATTTTGAAACGGTGGTAAGGAAAATAATTATATAGCGTCTTGTTCTTGAACGATTTCTGATAAGCTCTAACTAACCCAATCATTCTGCTTATCAAATACTTAAGAGAGATGTTCTTCGATCGTTTTGTTGAACCTCCCAACCCTGCAGTCTGATTGTGGATGAAATGCTCTCGCTCTGATCTTGTGAATGCCTAGTTGACAAGCTACCCATGTTCTAGGTATATCTTCTAATAACCCAATAAAATCGGAAACGAATCTCGTTCAATGACTTTTTGATTTCCAAGTGAGTTCTGGACCTCCAATTATAAACTTCTTCCAAAACTCGAGCAATTTTTGTCTTGGGCATGACCAATAATTGTGTTTTGAGCCTCACCATCTGCACTCTCCAAGATTCGTTTCATTAAACCACTGTCGATAACATTAAGTCCCATTGCGTTGTGCCCACTTGAAAGTTACGCTTTAAGGTGCGGAAATTCTTGCCAAGATTTTCTGGATTTGTTGGTTTCCTTTAGATTAAAAAATGGTTTGATATCACTATCTTTTAGTTTAGTTCGTTAGTCCGTTTTAAATTAGGATCATCAAACAGGAACATTTCCACACGTTGATCAATTCTGAGGCATTAAACTAGACATGATCGCCTGGATAAGGATAAGGCTTCTACATCATTATATTATTATGCAGTTTATGATAACTACATAACAGCGTAGATATCTTATCCAGCCGATTACGATCAATCCAATGCGAGTACCGCCCGATAATTGATCAGCGTAGAAGTATTAGAAGCCTTCGATTTGAAAAGAATCAGGAATGGATTTCCCAACAGCTTTGAAGTGATCATTAAAAAGATAGTGACATCAAATCACTTTTGAACCTACAGAAAGGGAACCAGCAACAGATCCATAACAAGCTGACGGAAAATCCGAGAACAAGAAGATTGGAGGGATACGACCGCAGATCCATGAGTCAATATTATCCTCCATACAGCCGCTCCATAATAAGAATAATTAAGTGGTAAGTGCTACTAGCGTCCACCTAAGCGGAGACAAACAAGGCGACTGGGCTAGAACTCTGTAACGAATCAAGTAACGAATAGAGATATTCTCTCTATCTCTATTGGCGTCCCCTCTCTATTGATTTCGATAAGAGAGAAGAAGAGAGCAAGTGCCATAGCGATGAGGATAACGATCTCTATCCGTTACAGAGTTCCAGCCCTGGCAGCTTGGCAGTCAATACGGAACGGGTAGCCATTCTTCTAGTTCCCGAGATGTCAGTTCGTGAGAAGTCAGTCATAAAGGTAGATCTGGATGGAATCCTAGAGAAAATAAATGGCATGGCACCATTTGAGTGTAATTTGGCCTTCTGCTGATTTTTCTGAAATTTAAATATGTACCAAAATAAGACTTTTTTTATCATTGCGCCAAAGTTCTAGGTCTACCGGGTCTGCTCGAAAAGTAAGGCCAAAGTGATAAAAAAGGACATAAGGAAATGCTGATTTCAATGAATTATTATTCTGAATAGGTCATTGGTATATCTAGACAATCACTCAACTTTAAATAAGTATCATAACATTTTTACATAATATTTACTTTATAATTTCATTAGTTACGAAGTGTTTTCCATAAGTATTCCGAAGAATCACATTTTACGAGCACCATATTATGGTTATCTACGTAAAATATGTGTGTATATGTATTTAATGTTTTTCTAATTTCATACCTACATAGGTGTACTTTTAGGCAGTGGAGTAGAAAGAGGTGAGGAGCAGGGCGCATCTCCCTCCCCCCGAAATTCCTAAGAAGTTATTACGTGAATCCTCCAGGATACATGCTCTTCTGTGAGAAGAGCCACACGTCTGACGCTACTTAGGAAGGAATGTATGTTTGATGCAAATGCTACGTAGAATGTTGGTCGTCGTTTAACTGATCCTCATCTAGAGGAGCTTTCCCAGGGTGACGGTACTTGCACTGGTTCAAGTCTGCCTGTTGCTTGGCTTGACCCACTATTTATATCAATTTATTGCTGAATTGCAATAAACATCCGATCGAATCGGCAATTAAATTAATAGGGTTGAATACCGGGTCCTCCTTTCCTAAGTAGCTAGTTGACATATGCCCCCCTCCATGAAGCATTGGACCCCAATGCTTGGAAGAGACATTTAAAAAAATACATAAAAATACCATAATAATGTCAAAAAGTACAATAACATCCTAATCCTAAAAATATCCCTTTTTTACAATAAAATATCCCTGCTTAAAAATTATATAATTCAAATATCGAGTATAGTAGAAAATGAAAAATTAAATTTAACAAAAGTGTTTATGATAGGATGGGTCAGGGTGCATTATTATTCAGGTTACTACAAAAAATATCTTATAACTAAGAAATTTCATCAACTCTACCACTTCAGCCATGAGGTTTTTTCTTTTGGTCTGGTCCTGTTTTCTGTATTGTGGGTCTGTTCTGGTTCCAAGTACTTCTTGGTAGGTCAGCTAGATCGTGGGGTGTAAAAGGTCCCACGGTCTGTGTTGTTGCCTGGTTCCAAATACTTCCTGGTGATTTGGTCATCTGGGTCGTGGATTTGCGCGGTCCCACGGCCCAAGTAATCCTTGATCATTTCCTTTGCGAATGTGGTGCAAATGGTACTGTGGTATGTCTACTTCTGGTCCATACCCATTTGTTTCTTCTGGTTTGAAGTTTCAAGCCCCTACTCAGTCCAGAGCTAGATCCTTCTATTACAATGCCTTCCATCGAATTCGTTTTGTTCCATCCCTGGCTGGTGGTTTTGTATAAATAAAATTTTTGATACAAAAAAAAAATGCTTATTCCTATAATTAGTTTAATTATGACTCATATTCGGTCCACTAAATTTCATAATTTCCTCATTTGTTGATCATGGCTCCCACCGGTAAGTTTGGTCTAACTTGTTTTTTGTATACCCATATGCCTTCTTTTTAGCTTGCACCTTTTTAAGATCTTTTCGGCGACTTCTCCGGAGGAAATGCCCAGCCCTTCCGTCGGTATGACTGTTTCTTCTTCTCCTTTTATAGTAATTCATATTCTCTATCTTCCCCTTAGAACTTAGAGAAGATCAAAAACTCAACTCAGAATTGATTTTAGCAATATAAGAGGAATAAGTACAAATATGAATTCAGTTCACCAACATCTTGAAGAACAAAGACCTGACATCCTTGTTCTCACTGAAACTAAAATCAGTTCTGCAACACCTATTGTGAACTATCTTTATCCCGGCTATGACCTACACCACCGATTTCGACATAATTTTGGGATCTGTGTGTACATTAAAAATGACCTTTCATGTCATCGAGAGGAGAAGCTAGAACCAGCGAACCTTGATATCATATGGCTAAAATTCACCTCAAGGTCATCGACCAAGTTTATCTGCTGCCTCTACCGACCGCCAAGTAACACCGATTTCCAAAACTTTTTCGCGACATTATCCGAAAACTGTGATAGTATACAGTCAAACTATCCACAGGCGGAAATTGTCTTTTAAGGCGATTTCAACGTCCACAATATACCCTGGCTGAAACACCACAACAAAACAGATAACGAAGGCAGAGAAGCAGAAGCTTTTGCCATAAGTTGTGGTCTAACGCAGCTTGTCGATGAACCTACCCGTATCTCAGAAAGGGGCGAATTTGCAGCGCTTTTAGACTTGTTCCTAACCACCAATCCTGACTCGTACACAATTCAAGTAGATGCTCCACTTGGTTCGTCCGATCATAAACTTATAATAACAAAGTGCGAAATGCTCATCCCACCAAGCCTACAACCACTTCCTCGTAAAATGTGGCACTATAAATCGGCAAAATGGAATGACCTAAAACAGTATTACCTGGATTTTCCATGGCAAGAGGTTTGCTTTAAAACAGCTGATCCCACTATTTGCTGTAATGAAATAACACAAGTAATCTTATCTGGAATGGACGCATATATCCCACATACAACTAAACGTAGAGCTAATGCAAAACCTTGGTTCAACAGCCAGTGTCAAACGGCTGTACAGAAAAAACACAGAGCATATAACCTTTGGAAACGACAACAAACCGTTCAAAACCACACAGAATTTATAGAAGCCAGAAATAGTTGCAAAATTACTATTGACTTCGCTAAAGAAACATACAATCAAAGAATAAAAAACAGGTTGCTGAATTGTCCAAGTAGTTCTAGGTCTTTTTGGTCTCTTGCAAAAGCTGTTGGATCTAACTTCACCAAGTCATCCATACCACCACTTACAGATAAAAATAATCACTTTGCCGCAACATCAGAGGAAAAAGCCAATATGCTTGCCCAAATGTTTTCCTCCAACTCCAATCTAACAGTGCCAAACGGAAAAACTCCACCGTTCATTGAAAGGGTTTCCCATAGTATGCCAGAGGTACCCTTTTGTCACAGAGAAATACGAAAATCCCTAAAAAAGCTGGATACAAACAAAGCAGTGGGTCCGGATGGCATTCCCGCAATAGTACTCAAAAATTGCGCCAACGAACTCACCCCAACTTTCGCAAAATTATTCAATTTGTCTTACAGGCAAGGAGTATATCCATCATCATGGAAGTCTGCAGCAGTACAACCCATTCCAAAGAAAGGAAAAAAGACAGATCCGTTAAACTATAGACCAATTGCTCTACTTCCGGTGATATCAAAAGTAATGGAAAGAGTTGTGAACAATCACCTAACCAAGTACTTGGAAAAGTACAAAATTATCAACGATAAGCAATACGGATTTCGAAAATATAGGTCAACTGGCGATTTACTTACATACGTCACTCACTTATGGCAAAAAGCGATTGAGTTGCGGGGTGAAACAAGAACAATTGCCTTAGATATATCTAAAGCATTCGACAAAGTTTGGCATGAAAATCTGCTCAACAAGCTCAAAGCAATGGGATTATCGCCGAAACTTTGCACTTGGTTTGAAAGTTACCTAAAGGACAGATCCATTTATGTTGCACTGGATGGCCAGAACTCCAACTCTTACCAAATAAATGCT